AGTGTCCACTGTAATGTCCTTGCTATTCAAGGAATACGGGAACGTTTATTTAAACACACTGAACCCGTAAACGATCATTTATTCACACAATACAGGGTAGCCGTAGAACCCGTTATTATTATCTACCGACACAATATGCTACATCCCTCCACACTTAGATTACAACGTAATATACAATATATAAGCATTATACCTAATTAATGATTAAGTACCACATTTTATTTGGGAAGCAACCAACTATGCTTTATGTATAATTGATGGACATGTTGCGCTTACACAATTTTAGCATAAAAAAATCAAAAACACATATACTACAATACATACATTGTTTTATGTATAATAAAAAATGACATTAATCACTCGACTTTAACACCTCTCCTCTACGTTTATTTAGAATACACAAAAAAAACAATTATAAACAAAACAAATGTTTACATTAGATTTAGTAAGTATAAATATTATAAAACTAAGCGTTTAGGTGGTTTAATAGCGCGGCCAGATCGTGATGTGCGCATGGTCGTGGAGGTTTGAGGCGGTGGGGACACGTCTCCCATGTCAGACTCCGCGTGAGTCAGCACCGGTGCCGCCTCACCGCCGTCAGGTCCCGGTGGTTGTGCGGCTAGCGCACCACCTGGGCTATTGAGAGGTAATGATGCAGGTGTATCATGAGAGGCACTGGGACCTGCCGTGCTCCCAACGTCCATATCCTCAAACGTCCACGCCGCTTCACCACGACTGCTGTTATGTGATTTGGCTGACATTAACTGATTCACATGACGTCTCCAAATGATATCGGATCTCTGTATCGCCACATCATATAGAACTTTACCTAAGCGTGCAACGACCTGGCCAAGGATCCATGTTGGTCTTTTGGGATTGGCTCGATAGTCTCGTACCCAAACTTTCTCCCCAATCGAAAATGCTTTAATTTTACCACCAAAATATAATTTTTGACGATTTTGATTCACTAACACATTTTTATGTATTAGAGGTTTTCGATCTAAATTTGAACGCTTAACAGCGATTAAATCAAGTTTACAACGTAAATTCCGACCGAACATAAGCGATGCAGGTGATACTCCCGTCGTACAATGCGGTGTATTCCGATAGTGAAACAAATAGTTATCTAAGTGATTAGCGAAGTCTTTAAAACCACAATCCTTGATAGCATTCACAATAAACCGCTTACAAGTCTTTACTGCGTTCTCGGCGAGTCCATTACTCTGTGGCGAGTACGCAGGAGATAAAATGTGAGTTATGCCATTATCAGTACAGTACTTAGAAAATTCAGACGAAACAAAGGTTTTGGCATTGTCTGTGACTATTTTATTGGGAATGCCGAAACATGAAAAAATTTTTTTTAATTTATTGATAAGTTCTTTTGATAAAAAATTTGACATTAATTCGCATTCAATCCATTTACTATGCGCATCGACTAGTACAAGAAAAATCTTCCCATGAATTGGGCCGAGGTAATCTAAATGGATTCTTCCGAAAACAGAGTCAGGCCACCCCCACGACTCCAAGCGCGCTTTCGCAGGAGATGGTCGCAAGGATATGCAACGACCACAGTTAGAAACCATGTTTTCTATGTCACTGTCGATACCCGGGTACCAACAGCGTTCTCTAGCAATCATTTTCATTTTAATTACTCCTAAGTGCGCAGCATGCAGTTCTTGTAGCACAGCAGCCCTATAAACAGTAGGCACTACAATTCTGTGACCTCTCATGAGAACTCCGCTATCAACATATAATTCATGTTGGCATCTATTATATGGCAAAAGTTCTGATGACACTTTCCGTGGCCACGATTTGGTCACATATTGCATGACAAGTGACAGAACTTTATCTTTATGAAAAGCGGCCCGCAGCTCGTCTAATGAAGCGGGCAGTGGCGCGCCAGCAGCCGCTAGCGCGTTAACATAACTGGTGACGTCATCTACGTGCGCCGTATCCTGCGACGAATCACAATCAATGGGAAACCGACTCAAATAATCAGCTACATTAGATTCACTATTAATGAACTCAATTTTATAATTATAGGCAGCAAGAAATAAAGCATACCGTTGCAGTCTCGCTTCGGACATATGAGGAACTCCTTTATCGGGGGAGAAAATAGAAAGGAGGGGCTTGTGGTCTGTTCTCAAAATAAATGGTTGCTGGCGGCCATAAAGATATTGATGGAATTTTTTGATTCCATAAATAATGGCAGTCGCTTCTTTCATAATTTGACTATAGCCACGCTCACTTTTAGTGAGAGCACGCGAAGCGTAACTGATCGGGCGCTCGGCACCCGCGGGGTAGCGCGCCGCGAGCACCGCGCCTAGCCCGCCGGGGGCCGCATCCACTGTCAGAACCAGCTGCTGCCGCGGGTCAAAGTGCGCCAGTACGCGACTTGAACATAACTCGTCTTTGATAGCATCGAATGATTTCTGATGTTCCGCCGTCCATTCCCATTTCATATTTTTTCGCAGTAAATTATGTAATGGTTCAAGAATGACCGCCGCTTGCGGTATAAAGCTACGGTAAAAGTTAACTAAACCCAAAAATGATTTCAATTGTCGGACGTTTCCTGGCACCCTTGCTTGTGTAATAGCCTTTATTTTATCCGGATTTTTATGAAGGCCAAAACGATCAATAACAAAACCCAAATATTCTATTTTATTTTGGAAGAATGAACATTTCGAGCGCTGGAGCATTAGCCCGGCGTCTCTTAGACGACTTAGTACCAAATCGACACGTTCCCAATGTAATTCGGCGGTCGGAGCCGCGATTAACAAGTCGTCGAGGAAACACTCCACGCCATCTATGCCCTGCAGCAGTTGCACCATAGCACGCTGGAACAAAGCTAGCGCATTTGACAAACCGAACACTAATCTTGTATAAACAAAAAGACCTTTATGCGTATTGATACATGTATATTTTTGTGACTCATCATCTAGAAGGAACTGATTATAACTATTTGATAAATCAAGCCTACTAAAGTAACGACAATCGTGTAACGATGCACATAACTCACTTATTTTGGGCAATGGATAAGAGTCAATTATTAGGGCCTTATTGATCGTCATGGAATAATCGCCGCAAATACGTACGTCATTATTTTTCTTTAATACTGCAACAATCGGTGACGCGTAATTAGAATAAGAAACCGGTTTGAGTATGCCAGCGCGCACTAATCGGTCCAACTCTGCGCTTACCTTATGTTTGAGCGCAAAAGGCACCGGCCTAGCTTTAAAAAATTTTGGTGTGACACCTTCTTTTAAGTGTAGCGTTAACTTATACTTATTGAACGTGCCCAACCCACCAGAAAATAATGTTTTATATTTCGACAAAATAAATTTTTCTTTATCTACTGAACAATAATTTAATGAGATAAAAGCGAAATTAAATTTTGTCATAAAGTCCCTACCGAGCAAGGGAACCGGGCCATTTTCAACAACATAAAATTTTATATTATGCGTTACATTATTATATGTGACTGGTAAGTAACACATGCCCAATAGCCTTAAAGCAGAACCACTGTATGTATATAAAGTTTTATTGGACTCACCGAGTGACAAGTTTCGCGAGAAATACATATACCATATGCGCGCCGGCAGCGCTGATACCCCACTACCGGAATCAACCTCCATACTAAGAGTAACACCTCGCACTATAACTTCAAGAGATATCGGTTTTTCTTCCTTACATAAAATAGTATTAATACGTGATTCATTATTTATATCTCTAACATTATTAATTGGTGAAAAATCATTACATTCGTCCCTATCACTACCTTCCAAAACGTAATTATTCTGCATACCATTATGCTGCTTTTTCACAATTTTGTCCTTTTTGGTTGTAATCTCGTTATGTACGTAGTATCTCTTAGAACACATTCTTTTTAAATGCCCTTTTGCACCACACAAATTGCACGACAGATGACGATAGCCACATACGGAGGTATCGTGTGACCTCGCACCACACACACTACACCTGGGGGCTCCGCCGTCGCCGCCACCACGGGCGCGACCGCCTCGTGTACCGCCGCTTGCAGTAGCTTTTCGCCGCGAGTCCGTATATAGCACAGGTTCAGACTTAATTAACTCCGCCGAATCGCCAGCGGAAACAATACGCTGCGCACTTTCAACTGCACAAGCTACTTCAAGTGCCTTATTTAGTTTTAGCTGATTGGGATCTTCTCTAAATAATTAATTAATTTTTTAATAAATAATTTTTCTCGGGCCGACGCAGTGTCAAGACCAAGTACAAAACGATCCGTCAAACACATCTCTAGAGCTGTACCAAAACAACATGCCGATGCTAGTCCACGAAGATGAGCAGCATACTCCACCATCGACTCGTGAGGGTCCTTTTTAGCCGAATAAAACTTTTGTCTTTCAGCGTATATACACTTTTTTGGGTCGAAGTGGCCGTCAAGCGCAGCAATAATCGCCTTGTAATCGGTTGATTCAGGCGTATTTGGATACAATAAATCACGAGTAAGACGATATGAGTCTTGTGACATGCTATTCAATAAAATTGCCCGTCTTCTCACTCTTTGAGCATCTGTGATATCGTCGATTCCATTTGCAATAAAGAAGTTGTTTAGTTGTGCTACGTGTACCACCCACTCATCTGTTTTGCAATCGAAAACTGGCACTTTCCCATAGATAGACATTTTAACGCGTGACTTCTACTGTTGGTTAATCGATTATTAATACACAAAATAAACTCGTCGCCACTGTAATGTCCTTGCTATTCAAGGAATACGGGGAACGTTTATTTAAACACACTGAACCCGTAAACGATCATTTATTCACACAATACAGGGTAGCCGTAGAACCCGTTATTATTATCTACCGACACAATATGCTACATCCACTATGAATAGTACAAATGCACAATCGACAATCGCAGCTTTCAGAGCCATCTTTTCCAGATTCGGGCTTCCTTCGCAACTCGTCACGGACAACGGTCCACCTTTTTTATCGCACGATTTCAAAAATTACTGTAATATGAATTGTATCAAACATGTTACCACGGCACCCTACAGACCACAAGGTAATGGCGCCGCGGAAAATGCTGTCAAAACAATTAAAAAAGTTATTAAAAGGGCGGTTCACGAAGGTAAAAATGTGACACAGGCTATCAACATATTTTTATTTAAGTATCGGAATTGCGAACACGCGAGTACAGGAGTGCCTCCCGCGGTCGCCTTGCTCGGGCGGCGGCTGCGCGGGCGCTTGGACGCGATGCGCCCGGACGTGCGATGCGCCGCGCAGCAGCGCCAGGCGGCCGCGGCCGGCGGCACTCACCGCGACCACGACCTACAACCCGGTGATCCCGTGCTGAATCGTGACTATACCGCGAGGGGAGAAAAGTGGGCCGAGGGTAAAGTCGTGTGTAAAACGGGCCCAGTCTCATGTAAGGTGAACATTGGAAAGGGAATTGAATTACGTAGGCATCTGGATCAAGTAATTCCAATAAAAAATAAAAATAGATATTCCTTAACGCGCACAAGTCAGACATCAAGGGAGGAGGAATCCCAGGGTGAAGATAGGAATGGTAATAAAACTGATGTGGTCTGTAGTGATGACGAGGGGGCTTGTTTCGAGGACGCGTCGGGTGGGCCGACAGCATCGAGGACACGCGCGTCAGCGCCCTTCTCTGAACCTATCCAGTCCCCGACACTGACGCCGCCCGGACCCGACGCGTCTTCGCGAGCTTTGCGTGCTTTTAACCGTAATAAGAGAAATGCAAAGATTTGAAGGGGGAAAATGAAAGGTTTTATTATAGAAATGGTGGGTAATTGTGGAAACTGTAATAACACGTTTGGAGAATAAACCAGTCAGCCGCGCAGTCCTGTGTTTGATTGACGCCTTTCCTTGGGTCTTTACACTTATGAATAATAATTCGATATTAATACAATCAAAAACCCGTGAGAAATTCAAGTAGTTTTTCACCTTTACTTTACCTACTATTAGATATATGTTAAAAAACCTTTACTTGGCGCTATTCTTACCTCTTCAGGCGAGAGTAGTGTTGCCATGTGTGAAATGTGAGATAAAAATTTAATTTTTCTATTATAATGAGAAGCAAAGAACCTTATTACAAGTTTGAAAAGATACTGGAATTTATCCTTCAAAATTGAGAAAAAACAAGCAGAATTGTATAGTCTCGTATTCGCCGGATAGTAAGCGGTTTTGGGTATTTAGGATACTGAGAGTTCACTTCGGTATCAATAATGAACATAATATGTGATTGCACAACTGCTATTTTAGTCTTACAAGGAAGAAAGTTATTCAGACAAAAATTAGATTGTTAAATGTCAAACACTTTGCGGCCAATACCACAGCATCAAGACTAGCCTACTGAGAACTATTTGTCCCACATGAAGGGACTGCTAAGACCCGCGAAGATATGAAGAGTACTAAACCAAGACTGGGACTACGAATGTTGAACTATGCTGTTGTCTCTACTTGTTGCTAGTGTTAGAAGAGAAATGTCTAGCACAATAAAACCAAAGATGACTTTGACAATTAATCCGATGACTGTCTTTTGCTATCAAGTTCTATACATACATTACTTTTGCATTTATTTTCTTTTTCTCATTTACCTAATATTATTTATGATCTCTTTTACATCAATCTTGGTACAGACACGTCTCTTACGAATTAACTTTAGTTTATTTGGTAATAATAAACTGCATTTTATGTTTTCTTTTGAATTCGTTAGAAAAAATAATAAAATTTTTAATACATATTTTTATTCTATTAAGTCATGCCAAATTCAGAAAACCAAAATATAAAAGAGGAATCACCTCGGTGTTTGTCTGTCATAGAGGTTTTGTTTCTACAATTGTCTCACGTAGATAATCTAGCATAGCTGGTATTATGACATGTAAGAACTGAAAAAAGACTAACAGGAGTGAGGTTCAAATTTCAAATCACCATCATTTCATCAGGATTAGTTTTACGTTACAATAAGTTAAGATATCAAGTAGTAATTATTTGAAGTGAACTATAAAAATGTGCATTAGTATTTTACGTTCAATTTTAACATTTATCCGAATAAATTAATTAAAATTGATGGACCGAATCTCTAATGTCATCTCTAATAAATGTATGTCTAGAGCATAATAAACTTCATAAATTTTGGCATTTTGTAGTTTGAGTTTGAAATCGAAATTATTCTGAATACTATAGTCTTTACCGTATTGCTAACATAAAATTTGGAAAAGACATGAATTTAATTTATAAAGTATTTAGCACTTTTCGAATACGTAATTTTAAAAAATTCAGTCTTACCTCATTCTAACGGTGCTTAAAATCTACAAATTACAAATCCGCAATATCAGCAGGGCTGTTTTTACTAATCTCAATGATTTTAAGAGTTTTAGATATTTTTTTCGAATCAAGACACATTTGGTGCAATCTCTTATTTAGCTTATTTTTGATTATATGTAAGTGTAATCCTGATCCTTATTAGGTCTTCCTACAGAAGCTGGATCATCTCAACAATAACTGTTTTTTTTATAGCGTAGGGTGACAAACGAGCACACAGTCCACCTGATGGTAAGTGGTTGCTATGGCCCATAGACATCTACATTTATCCTCGTTTGCGAATCAAAATGCAGATGCGTGTCCACCCGTGAGGACTAAGATTGAATGCCTCGTTTCCAGTAAAAAGGGTCTCCGGTTCTCTACACTCACCATACGAAACACAGCAGTGTTAAGCTGCTATTTGACGCTGGTATTCTGTGAGAGCGTGGTCCTTCCCCGGTTGAGCCGACTCATTCATGCTACAACTATAGTACTATTGAGCTGCAGCATGTCTCTACCACGTATAAATAACGAATGAAAAATATAGAATGTTTCCGTTCTATCTTTCGTCTTCGGAATTTTGATTATATTTCCTCCTCCTTTCCTAGTTTAAACGGCTAACTATACATCAGCAAAGACACGTATGGATACTTATCACAGTTTTTTTTTATTTTTACTAGAGAAAATTTATCTGAATTATCTGAAATATAAGGTTAATTTCCTGCGTGACACTCATAGTAGACAGCTTTGTTAATTGGAAAATCTAGCTATCTACGTTTGTTTCACCGTTCGAGTTATATATATATATATTCATAGTTTGTTATCCAGGCCGCGCGCCTATGGCATTACCTACCGAAAAAGTTAAGACAACCTTTCAGCAAACAAACATTTAAGACGAATATTCGGGCTTAATTTCTAAAAAATGGTGCAAACTGCTAAGTTCTGCTGATCTGCAATACTCATTAATACAGTTAATTCTATCTTTGTTTAAATTTGTTCAAGTACTTATGTGTTATATCTTATACATTATCTTTACATTATTTAAATAATTATTTAAATATGTTTATATGTTTACTTTTATTATATTCGATAATTTGTGTTCTCTATTACAGCCTTCGTAAAGTTATCACTAAGTTTGACTAGCATTTAGCATTAAGTATGCCTTTTGATCCTATACTCTTTTTGTAAGGTACAATAAAGATTAAATAAAAAGCTACGATTAAAGTAAAATTGTCAAAATAAAAAATGCTTTAAAAGGCTGTTCCTAATAGGTACGAAACTAATACGTCTTTTTCGGTCAAGTTTTCGTCGTATGAGATTAATCAAACCACTCTACTTGATCGTTTCAGCCTGTAATCTGTACCATTTGAGTCACCACTGTATAAAAGGTTATTTTCAATTTTCCACCTTCCACTATGTTAATCCATTGAAATAAAATCGCTAAACAAACAACGTTGCAGGAAAAAGCTAGTATTGAATAAAACAAAATATATTTCGTATTTTTTATTATAATTTAAGATCCTATTTCGCAAATATCACTATTAATAGCCCAATATTTGTGTCGTTTTAGCTTTGGCCAGCTTCAGTTGAGGTTTGAATATCACCTACTGATACGTTTGCAACATTTTCAGTCAAAGGTTGTAATAAATCCTCAGTCGTAATATCGTCGTAATCAGTCATATAATCGCCCAAATTACTTTGACTACTAATTATTGGCATAAATTCATCGTTATTCAATGATGGAGTGTAAGTTGTAGTAGATATGTCTTCAACGTTATTTAATAAAGTAGTTGTAGGACTTACTTTTTCAGTTTGTAATAATTGCACATCATCAATTGTTAACTTTACATCATCAGGAGTTAAAGGCAGTACACCACTTACCGTGGGAAGTACATCGTCAATTATTAGAGATTTTACAATTTTGCTAAAAGTTTTTTTTACTTCACTATTTTTGGAGGAATCTACTTTAATGTCACTAGAGGGCTTTAATATGATAATTGGAGCTTTAACTTCATCCTTCTTCGCAGTCTTTTCATTGTTTTCTGATCCGTCATCCACAACTCTAACAATTACTTCGTACTGTAATTTAAGTTTGTTTGACGGAGCATTGGATACGGTATTCAACACTTTAGATCCCTTAAAAGTATAAAGGGATCCTAAGTTTTCTCCTTTATCCAAATTAAATACTGGCGGGTGTCTGAAAAATAAAAATTTGATATTTTAGAGAATATTAATTATTAATATTATTAACATTTGAAAAATATGATCTTGCGCTTTGATCGAACAGTTCGGACTGATCATACCTGTAAAAATTTACGAAATCATCCTATTGTATTTCCCCGTTTTTTTCTCCAAAACTGTATGACTTTATTCGTTATATTTTAGAAGAACAATATAAAAATGATGGTGACTATGTGTATATATTTCTCTTTCAAATTTTATGGTCTTTAAATTTGTTTGCTGGATGTGCGAGAAGAGTATTTTAACTGAGAAATTTTAGCTACTTAAAACATTTACTAGTTCTTAAGTTAATTATTTTTGCAAAAAAAACACAGCAACAAAAAACACGGTTGTGATATTAGTAGACATAGATTTCATCGTCAAAATTATATCTTCTAGTGTCATTAACTAGAGAAACAAGAGAGGAATATAGACTAAACGCCACCCGGATATTCTCTATAGGCACATCTTCCATGTTTTTTTTTAATTACATAATTTTCAGGATTATGCTTCTTAATAATGACTCCATTGTAATTGTACTAAATTATACCGTAAGTCATTAAATTTATGTATTAAGCAATTTGTATATCACTTTCACCTCTCAGCAAATAATATATATAATACAAAGTACACTAAAGGCTTTTTTTTTTCAATTTCATTTATACTTTGAAAAATGTGTTACCTATAATTTTAACATTGGTAAATTTTAAATAGGAAACTAACTTTATCTAGGAAATTGGTAATCCCTAATTATTTAACACTAAACATCGAGAGAGTAAAATAAAAAGGATATCTCACATTTAAAAAAAAAGTGAAGTGAAAAACGAACTAGCAAAGGCCAGATTCATCTCTTTTTGGGGTAGATAAGTATGCCGAAACTTTCAAAGGAAGTGGTTACTCTTCAGAAACCAAACAAGCAGTGTTGTCGCACAGAGAACGATGGTTACCGTTACCGTTAGCGTTACAGCCTACCATAAATCCACTACTGAATATAGGCTTCCCCCATAGATTGCTTCGTTGGGGGGATGTTTGCCGTAGTTGTCACAATTGGCAGGTGGCTTAACAACTACAGTTTTTTGAAGAAGGGAAGATTCTAATGTCCATCTCCTGGTTTGTTTCTATCTGTTGCCTCTTACCCACGAAGCGCTAGGAATAGAAATAGAGGTAGAATATAATAATTTTTATTTAATTAGATCAAAAGAATACTTCTTAAAAGTCATTTGAGCTTTACCACTTGTTCGGAAAAAACCTTTGCCCTGGGAAGAACCAGATACAAACCGAGCCTTTTTTAATTTAAAAACCACATGGTAGCGATCACCTCATTCCCAGACGTTAAGGACTGTATTACAGTCGGGAGACGTTAGGACTGTATTGCACATTCATTACAGCCCGTCACAAGTCCACTGATGAACATAGGCCTCCCCTAACGCTTGCCACAAAGCACGGTCCTGAGTCAACTGCATACATAGACTTCCTGCATGTCTTATCAGGCAGTCACTCTATCTAGTGGGGTTCACCCTACACTTTGCGTACAGGTACGAAGCTGCCACTCGAGAAATTTTCTTTGCCATCGGTTTTCGGTTATTCGAGCAATATGGCCGGCCCATTGCCATTTCAGTTTATTATGTCGGTTACTCTGGTTATTTAAACATAACATAAACACTCACGCATGTCACCCAGAGGGGTAGGTAAAGATTACGGACTTTAATTTTGCACGATCCTGAAACACCTGTTTAGTCTCTTTTACATATACACATCTTTTACGTAGCGTAGGTATATACGCATACATGCTCGTGGGTTAAGGGTATTCTTAATCTGGCCCATATTCAATATATCGCCAATTTGGTTGATAAATATTCGTCTAGGGTGTCCCTTTCCGACTCTGCCTCTCACTTCTGCAACATAAATTTTCTTTCTCACACTTTTCTCGTTCATTCTTTCTACATGTACCAAACCACAGCACATCATCTTGAAAACCACACTTTTTGCTTACCACACAATTTCTCACCCTTTCATTCAAATTCAGCCCTAACACAGTCCTAACACCTCCAATTATTCTACACTCGTGCTGCTTCTGTCATACCCAGCTTTCACTACCATACATGAAGGTAGGGAGTAACCCAGCATTTTAAATCGCCATACGTGCTTTTTTGACACATAGAGTGAAGCGCCCCATTTTCTCCATGTCCTGCGTTCACTCGTCGTTCTATATCCTTAGCATATCTACCATCTCGGCTAAATACACATCCAAAATACACAAAATCCATTTAAAAGATTTTATTATAATTCTATACGTGATAGAACCATGCTGCAGCTATATTATAGTGTAGCACAAACAGGTCGGCTCAACCGAAGAAGGACCACGCTTTCACAGAATACCAGCGTAAAATAGTAGCGTAATCCTTCTATGATTGCGTGGTAAGTGTAGAAAACTGGAGACCCTTTTTATTAGAAATGAGGTATTTCATATTAATTTTCAGGGGTGATAATGCACCTGCATTTTGATTATTTATTGAAGATTGATGTAGATGTCTATGGGCTACAGTATCCACTTACTATCAGCTGTACTGTGTGCTTGTTTGTCACTCTTATACAAATAAAAAAGCTCATCCACTTACTGGACCAACTCCTCTTCTATTCTTATTTTACATATTGTTTTAATTCTTTTCCTTCAAAACCCATCACTTTCGTCTTATTTTCGTTCACTTTCTATTCCCTGTTTTTGGTGACCTGTTCATTAATGTAACCATAATTTGCAACACGGCCGCATACAACGCAAATATGACTCGATCATCAACGTGCAAAAACCATTTGACGGTTAACTCACACATTCTTCAATTTCCAAAGTTTCCAAACAACTGTCCATAAATAGATTAAACAATAGCCATTAGGAAGATATACAGCGCTGTCGAAAACCTTTATGGATACCAAACCAGCCCGATAAGGCTTCGTTGATCCTGACACAAGCACTAGAGTCCTTATGGAGAGATTTTAATACCTGTATCAACCCAGTGCTCAATCCAAATGCGTTCAGTGTTTGCCATAAAATATCCCCGTCCATTCTCTTGTAAGCCTTTTTCAAGTCCATGAACGCACAAAAAACTTTTTGGTTTTGTGTGCGTTCAAACTTCTCCACGATCATATGCATGGAAAAGAAAAGAAATAATCCGTAAGATTTTTCCGTCAGCTTCTTTCATAACTCTTTTAATTAACACCTTAGCATACAGTTTTTCCACAACACTAAGTGGTTGATACCACGGTAATTTTTATAATCCAGATGTGAACATTTTCCTTTACTCTGGTACTACGGCGGATATCCTCATTTCTAAGTATATCATGCAGAGATACCCCGAGCATAGCGCACTCAAACGACCAGCAGTTAAGGACCACGTCTCAGATCTATAAGTCATCACTGACAAATCGTTGTACAATCTTGTTAGGAAGTTTTGAGGTATGCCTTACGAGATGTGTCGTAATCTATCGAACGCTGCCCAGCCGAGTTCAATCCGTCGATTGACCTCTCAGTTGAAGTTGGTACTTACCTAGTCGGACTATTTCTCCTAGGTAAACATACTCGTCAAAAACTTCGAGCTTAGTGCTTCCAAAAACTACCGGTACAGGTGACATGAATGTTACACAAGATCTGTGTATTGTCCTTGTTCATCTTAAGACCTATCCGTTGGGAACTACTGTTGAACTCATGAGCATAGTCGTTAAGTCCTCCAGAAATTCTGCCATAAGGAATTTATCGTCGATAAATCGAAGGTGAGCGGATGTACACTCCATTGATGCTAATACCTTATCCTTTTCAGTCCAGTAGCTTGAAAACGCCTTCCAATGTAGAGGTGAAGAGTTTCGGAGATATAAAATCACCGTATCTTACATCTCTCTGCAGTTGGATAAGTTATAACCCTACTATACAAATATTTAAGTACTTCGATATACCAACAGTCAACTTGGAACCGCACAATGTGGCAGATTATACTCCTCGGTCGTCTGTACAATTTGCCGAAAGGTATGTATGTGGTCTATGGTGCTAAAGACTTTTCGGAAACAAACTTGTTCGGGAGGCTGGAAGTCTTTTAGTCTGCGTGCGAGAGGATTTGTTATGACTCTCTAAAACAGCAAGTTAGATTAATGTCTCAATGTTAACACAGTCGAATGTCTTGGAAAGAGCGCAAAATATTTGAGTTCTCCCATGCGCAGAAAATATGTTTAATCAGCTCAACACGGACGTTAGTTGTCGAGCGATCCCTTGTAAACTAAATTTATTTTTTGGTGCAATTTACTTACATAAAAAAATAACATTTTATCTATAATAATTTTTTCGCAAATCTTACTTAGTATAAGCAGTACAGAATAAAATAAGTGATGTCAATGTACTACTAGGTCTAAGTAAAAGTATGTTTTATACTTTATTAAATCCGTAAAAACACCAGATATTATAGCCGCAGTAACAGTAACGTAAGTCACTTGTAGTAGTTCTACGGTTTTCTTGATATTAATATATTTGAAATATTTTACAATATCTCCTGATACTATTTTGTTGAAATGCAAATTCTTTTGTACGGACATTTACATTTTGTTTGAGTAATGACTCGGTGACAGAAGGGAGGGATTCGGTGACTTTGTAGTGAAGATCACAATATCGGTAAAATATTATTTAAAATCCGTTGCAATATCTTGACCTAAGTATTATTTATGATATTCTTATACCGCAATACGGTCAACATGGCCAACACGGCCATTAGGTAGGTTAATATCTTATGACACAATGGTTGAAATTGACTCTCTTATGAAAATATTTAGAAAATAGCAAATGAAATGATAGATGAGAGTGTCTGGGAGTATTGATGACTGATTTTAAACGATATTATCTAACATATACGTAAAAATAAGCTGGGAGAATTAACCTAAGTTGAGCAATTTCTTTACGTACCTTGATTACCTGATACCTTGCTCTATATTTAAAAACTA